TGAGTGGAGACCCAATGTCCATCTGCTACCTTAATACTAAACCTATAAATTTATGCACATAGATTTATTTCCCCATCATCATATATATTTACGTATGTACATGCCTGTATTTAGACATCTACAAATGCCCTTTGCCTCCTAGTTTTCCCTCCATTTCCTTTTACTTTCCTCTTGTTCCACTCCCATGAAGGCAGAGCTTTTTAGTATGCATTTTTCCACTAGGCAAGCATCGAGCAACTGGCTCAGAGTTAATGCACCCAGTGCTGATGCCTGGGAATTCACTCTCTGGTCACAGTGACTTTTTCATTAAAGCAGTTTTCGCTCAAACTTTATTTATTGTGAGGGCCAATTTAAGAAAACGGCTGTGAAATTTTGTTTCCTGCTTGGGAAAAATGCCGCAGAAATGGTTGTCATTTTGAACATGGCTTACAAGGACAGCACTAAGGGAAAAACTCAATATACAAGTGGTTTTCTCCTTTCAAAAAAGGTGAAATATCAAATGATGACAAACCTTGTTGTGGACATCCATCAACTTCCCAAATGAACTAAAATGGCGACAACATTCACACACTTGTGCTCGCAGAATGACAGTAACGAACCACTGAAGAGATGGGGACGTTATCTGGACTATCTTGGAACTTGGTTCAATCTCTGTGAAATTTGTGCCTCAGGTTCTGACTGACCAGGAAACAGACTGTGGAGTAGAAACATGCCGAGCTTTGAATGAACAGCACTGAAGTGACCCACACTTTTTCCCCAAGGTCATTACTGGTGACTAGACATGGTGCTATTCCTACAACCCCCAAAAGCAAGCATCAATCAAGTCAGTGGTAGACACCATCATCACCTTGCCCAAAAGAAGCTCCTCAAGTGAAAGCAAAGATCAAAATCTTGCTCATTTGTTTTTTTGATGAGAGGGGGATAATGCATTTGGAGTTTGTTCCACCAGGTCAGACTTAATCAAGCTAAGATTTCATAACTGTGTGACAAAAAGTCTGATTGTGGCAGATGGGACTGGTTTTGCCAGCACAACAATGCACCTGCTCACGCAGCCTTCTGTTTTTGGCAAAAAAACAGCATGCCGTTCTTGCCCCCCACACCTCACCTGACCTCACTCCATGCAACTTCTTTTTGTTTCTGTTCTGTGAATGAAGAGGGGCATGAAAGGACAGTGATTTGATCTTAGAAGAGGTGAAGAAAAAAACGAGGGAGATGCTGTCAGCCATCCACAGATGAGTTTGATAAGCGTTTCCAAGAATGAAATTGCAGATTTGACAAATGTATAAGGTGATAAGATTGTTTTGTAAAACAATTTAAATACATAGCTTTGAAAAAAATTCCATTTTATGGGGGGTACCATCAGAAAACTCATGTTCAATGACGTTAAAATGACAAGAGTTCTCAAAACTAATGAATGTAGAAAGTAGGCATAAATCAGGTCTGCCTTTTTATCCTTATAATAGGCTTAGAAAATAAAAAGATTTTATTTGTATATTTATTATTTTGACTTTAGTTTACATTAGTTTGTGGATTTCCCACTTGTGTATTTTTTAAAAATAAATCATTTGATTGGGGGCCCTTACAGCTCATACCAAACCATACATCAATTGTATAAAACACATTTGTATATAAGTTACCATCATCTTCAAAACATTTTCTACTTGAGCCCTTAGTATCAGCTCTTTTTTCCCTTCCCTCCCTCACCCTCACACCCTCATGAACCCGATAAATTATATTATTATTTTCATATCTTACCCCATTTGCTGTCTTCCTTTACCCACGTTTCTGTTGTTCATCCCCCTGGCGGGGGGCGAGGTGGATGTGTTAATATGTCATCATTGCAATCAGTTCCCGGTTTCTCTCCCTACCCTCATGGTATTGCTACTCCCATTGCTGTTCCTGAGGGGTGTATCTGTCCTGGATTCTGCGTGTCGAGAGCCCTTATCTGTACTAGTGTCCATGCTCTGGTCTGGCTGGATTTGTAGGTAGAACTGGGGTCATGATAGTGGGGGGAGGAAGCATTCAAGAACTAGAGGAATGGTGTGTGTTCTGTTGGTGCTGTGCTTCACCCTGGCTGACTTGCTCCTTCCTTATGATCCAAAGGAGATTGTTTTCAATGTTGAGCTAGGAGACCAGTTCCATTTGATTTCACAGCCATGTGATCCTAGGAAAGTCCATTTCCCTCTGTGTCGCATTCTAGAGTGAGTCAGAGCAGCTCATTGTTGTTTTGGAGCCCTCGGGTTCTAGCATCTCCCATCCCTCCTGCCAGCATAAGACATGAAATGCAGCTTCCTCTGTCTCAGGGCAGACACATCATGAGCAAAAGTTCCTTGACTCTGGTGCGATAAATCATCAACTTGGTCAGAGACGTAAGAGCTCCAAGGTGACAGAATCCAGCTGCCTCTAGTTTAAGAGAGAAACTGGACTCATCCATCGGTGATGTAATGAGATCCTGCTCCTTCCAGTGATGTGCCCTATGACCTTGGACAAAGCACTGACCTCCCTGGGCCTCTAGCCTGCATTCACAACAAGAGGGTGAGGAGAGCTGACTCCTGGGGTCCTACGGGTCGAGTATCTCTAGGATCTTGTGATTTACAGACACTTGTCTTGCTTCCAAAGATGGATAAATTCCTAAACTGGACAACTGGAACAAGACTATTGTGTTTTCTAGCTTTCTAAATGAAGAATGTATTATGAGGCTTGGAGGAAACTCACTAATAACCTGCAATTTGCAGCTGACACACCTTGCTTACTGAACGTGAGGAGACTTAGCCTTCCAATATTAATTGTAATTCAACATAAGAAAACAAAAATCCTCATAACTGGACCAATAAACAACACCATGATAAACAGAAAATATTGATGGAATCAGGATTTCACTTTACTTAGATCTTCTGTCACCTCCACGGAAGCATCAGTCAAGGTATCATAACCGTGAACAACAGACCTCTGTAGCGGAAGTAGCAGTGGGAGGGTTAACAGTAATGTAGCACCAACAGTCTAGCTCAAAAAATGGTAGTTACTATGCATGACAGCTTTCAGGCTCAGAATGGGAAGATTACACATTACCTAGACTAACCCTGGAATAACCGCATCAGCATAACATGGAAACGTACAAGAAATGCAAATTCTAGCAGCTCACTCCACTACTGAACAAGAAAATCTAGGGGTGGAGTCCAACAGTCTGTGTTTTAAAACATTCTCTATGCCAGGGGCTTAAGTGGAGAACAAATGTTTTGAGAATGATGAGGTCAATGAATGTACAAATGTGCTTTACACAACTGATGTATGTATGGATTGTGATAAGAGTCGTATGAGCCCCTAATAAAATGATTAAAAATAAATGATTTCAAACAAACAAAAAACATTCTCTAGGTGATACTGATGCATGAAAGCAATTGTAGACAATATTTAAGCAAACGAGCATGGCTGCATTCCAATAAACCTGTATTTACAAAAATGAGGTGAGATGTTGCTCCTGGGAAGTAGTTTGCCAACCCTTGTCCAAAAGCTTCCTCAATTCTTTGCTAAAGTTCATTCTGGGCGGTCCTCCTTAGTAGTTACATAGCATCTGCCTTAATACTTAGGGTAAATCATTCACTACCTCACAAAGTAACTTTTTTAATTAGGGTTATGATCAGATCATAATTCTGTTTAGAAGAGTTCATTTTTAAATATCAAAATCCAAAATGCCCCTACCTATGACTTCTACCCATAGAGAGTTACAGAGACCCTCTGCTTCACTAAAGGGCTCCATTCTAGTTTACTTTTGAGGCTAAGTTCACTCTAACTGAGAAATGCTGAAGGGACCATGTTTTCTGCTAAAGTACAAGGCAAAGAGAAATACAAGAGGTTAAAGATACCCCATAGGCTGGGCCAACTTCATAGATCTTTATTAGATTGAGGATACCCAGGTTAGCTCAAAGGAAACTGGTTGACAAATGGCAAGCACAGCTGGACCACAGAGGAGAAGAGGCATCCTGGATGGTGAGAATGTGAACTTCTGATCTATAAGGGCCACGGTCTCCTGCTTCACTCTGCTCTTCTTAGCACTCACTCCCCCAGTGCTGGCACTGAGGATCTCCCGGGAGCTAGTTCAACTTGGACAACAGTTCTTCCAGTTCTGGTCGAGCTTTGAACCTTCCTTTGAAATCTTCTTCAGTGTGCTGGGGAAAAGAAAAAACGTAGGAATTAGCATAGAGTTTTTCATTACTCAATATGCACAGCAACCAGAAAGAACCCATCAGTTAGTTCTGCATAAAATAATTCACATTCAATTAACTCCAATTGGGTATCTAATAGGCACCAGACATTGTATTAGGTGCCAGGGGTTGAAGGTTAAATCACAGCCTCCCTGCCTTCCATGAACTCAGATTGGATGTGAGAAAAGAGGCACAGAAAGAACTGTCCAAACAAATTAAGTATCACAACAGAGGCATTAAAAATAGAGAATGGGAGAATGCCAGAATCTCAATTTATAATAGAGATAAGTGTCATGGGGACTGGAAAATTTGAAGTCAACACGGCCAGCACATTCTATCCCTGTACATTAATCTATATAAAGCCCAAAACACAGGCATAAGAGATTCGACAAGAATAAACTCAGAATAAGGGAGGAAGCAAATACCAGTTTAATATGAACTGACATAAGAGAGGGCTTTTGAAAGCTGGTAGAGAAAATGGGATTAAAAATAATGGATTTCCCCCACTCCCCATACTTTCTGAAGCCCCTTCGTACTTGTGTCATTATAAGGATCGTCTTGGCGATGGGACCAGAATACACAATGCTTAGTTTAAAGCTTCTAATGTCTTTCAGGTTTTCCAAAGAGTGACCAAACTTCCCTCTGAATAACATTATTCAATAGATTCAGTGAATCAGATGATATAAAGTCAAGGCCCCAAAATCTTCTCTCTAAAGTACATTTTCCTTTTTCTGTGCTGATTTACTATACTGTTCATTAATCTTAAATCAGGTTCTTTCTGCTATACAACTGTCTGAAAGGAAGGACTTTGGGGCTGTTGTAGAGCTCACCCCTGCCTCCAGGGTGAGGTCAGCTCCTGTGGCCCCTAAGCACCATCGCTGAAGCCTCAGAAGAGCCGATCAATAACCTGGGTGCCTTTCTGACTCTGATCTGGGTTTATCAGCCACACTCCCCGTTGCTTCTCAAGCCGGGCAGTCCAGGTGCTCATCACCCTGCCACCGCTCAGCCCACACGTTGAGCACAGCCTGGCCAAGGGGGCTTCTTTCCAAACTAATACCTACCTCCTTCACTAACAATCTGACTCCTTCAGGAAGATTGCTTCGGATTATCTCCAAGAAAATCTCTGCAAATGTAGCACTCAACCCACTGATCTGCAAAAAAAAAGAGAGAAAGATAAAACTAAGGGAGGGTCATGAAAGCGAGGTGACAGGGCCAAGATGGCATGGAATCAAATGCAAGCTGCAGCAATGCTAGAGGCTTAAGCTGCAGTTTCAACACCTAGAGGGGATGATGGGCTCATGGTCCCCAGGCGTTCCCTCGGTGCCTGCTGAGCTGTCTGCTTGCTGACATGATCATGCCAACATCACTTCCTGTAGGAAATGTCATAACTGCATCAAGAGGTTGTCCAGCCCATGCTCAAAAGCTGACTGGTGTTAGATCTTGTGCTGAATCAGATGTGTAAAGAATGGCACGCAGGGAACTGTGGGAACCCATGAGAAAAATACTCACCTGAGAGGTAACATGTAGGTGCAATCATGCAGAAATCCAGGAGTAAACAGGGAGAATCCAACAGTGGTGTGGAGGGTTTTTAAGACAGAGGAAAACGCATTCAGAAAGGTGGGGAGGTAAAACAAAGTAGTCAGGGATGTGAAAGTAGCTCTATAAACGGTTAGAGGGGATGGGGCATGAAAACGAAAAATAGAATTATGAAGGTTCTTGAGTGCTAACAAAGGGATAAATGGTATCCCACAGGCCTCGGTGGCAAGTCAGATCTGTCACAGTGTGATGGAAGTAATTTACTCCTAATACTTCTTAAGAATTAAAGCTTGCTTGTTTCTTTGGTGTATGAAAACCAGGACTGATGAACCTATAGAGTCAGCAAGTGGAATAAGGGATTGGGGGAAGAGGGGGGCACAGAGGTGGTTTTAGGGGGAAGGGGTGATGATGTCAGGGGTCCATGTAGAAAAAGAATGTTTGGAAACTGATTGTGGTAGCAAATGTACAATTCTGCTGGATGTGATTGAACTACGGAATGATTTGATATATGTATTAATCCCAATTAATTTTTTAAAAAAGAAAAGCTTGTAAGAATTTTCATTATTTAAAAAATTAGCATGGATTTCAAATGTTACTGCCTTGATACATTTCTTCTTTTTAGTAGTTTTCTTGATATACTAGTCACATATCAATTATACACTTCCATAGTTCAATAGCTTTTAAAAAGTTGTATATATATCATCACAATCAGTTTATTTTTTCACAGTTTTATTGGCACAAAATCCACATGTCATACAATTCAATATTTCCATCATGTCAAGAAGAATTATAATCATTAGCATAATCAATTTTAAAACATTTTCTTTTTCTTCTTTCTCATGGTTAAATTGCTTTTAAAATGAGTTGTGTAATCACCATCCGTTCTAGTGCTCCCTCCCCCCAGTACATTTCTTTGCTGGTGTTACTTGAGTGGTTCAAAGGGGTAGGTAGCTCCACCCACTGACACTGGGTTGGTTCTCACATACCCTACTGGATGGAGTAGAACTGCAAAAAATCCTTATGAGAGCAGAGCCTCATCTTTCTTCCTCAGAGCTGCTGGTAGGCTCAAACAGCCAACTTTTCTGTAAGCAGTCCATTGCTTAATCTACTGCACAACCAGGGCTCCTTGAGGGCCATATAATAGCATATTACTGGGCAATAAAAAGGAATGGAGTATTGATACATGTTATAACTGGTATGAACTTTGAAAAGATTATGAGAAATAAAATAAACCAGACACAAGAGCTCACATATTACATTATCCCATTTATATAAAATATCCAGAAGAGGAAAATTCATACACATAGAAAGTAGACTAGAGCTCACCAGGGTCTAGAGCAGTGGTTCTCAACCTTCCTAATGCTGCGACCCTTTAGTACAGTTCCTCATGTTGTGGTGACCCCCAACCATAAAATTATTTTCCTTGCTACTTCGTAACTGTAATTTTGCTACTGTTATGAATCAGGTGACCCCTGTGAAAGGGTTGTTCGACCCGCAAAGGGGTTTCAACCCACAGGTTGAGAACCGCTGATCTAGAAGGAAGAACTACTGTTTAATGGATATAGAGCTTTTGTTTGAGACAGAAAGATCTGGAAATAACTGACGGTTGGTTAAAAAGGTACTTAAAGCCAGTGAATTGTACATTTAAAAATGGTTAAACTAGAACCCTCTCCCAGGGCAACAAATAACGGAAAAGTGGGTGAGGGGCGATGGAAGACGATGTAACATATGGGGAAAAATCTATAACTTACCAAGGGTTCATGAGGGAGGGCGGGGGAAGAAATGGGAAGCCGATATCAGGGGCTCAAGTGGGAAGAGAAGGCTTTGAAAATGATGATGTCGGCATATGTGCAAATGTGCTTGACACGTTGGAGGAATGTATGGATTGTGATAAGAGATGTAACAACCCTTAATAAGTATTTTTAAAAATGGTTAAAACAATACATTTCATATTATATGTACTTTACCACCATAATTTGAGGGAACAACAGAGGAGAGTGCAGAGAACTAGACAAGGAAAATACATGTCGAGATTCCCGAGTGCCTACCTGCACCACTCGCTCATGGGTGGTCAGGACTGAGTCCAGGAACATTTTGTTGCCTTGGTCTTGCAGCCGCAACAACTCCGTGGTTTTTGTGGGCATTGCGTAACTGTGGGAAGGAAGAGTCTACCGTTAAGAGGGTTTCCTTACGCCAGCAGCAGCAGCAACACTTAACCCATTTCCAACAGGGCAGCCCCGGGGGGACAGCTATGAGTGCACGTGATAACTCCTGGAATCAAAAGGAGACTAAACCACCTCTGCGTTGATCTACAACCAGGAGCAAAAAACAGATGTCTTTATAGCTCCTCCAGAAGTTTCTAAACTCCCTGAGGAGAGACACAAGGCTGCGCTTTCTGCATCCCCAATCAAGGCTAATAAATTGTTCTGCAAAAAAAGTGACAATCAGTATTTGTGCTGCTGAAGAACAGCCAGTTCTATAAGAAGTAGGTTCCTCATTAGACAGGCTTCAGAGGCAAACCCTGATTACATCATCTGTTCTGGAGAAATAAGGAATGAAAGGCAATTTGACAACCTCAACAGTATTGATGTTTTGGGCCAAATACTTCTTTGTTGTTGGGAGTTGAACTAATTTAAGCATTGTAGGGTTTGTAGCAGCAGCCCTCTCCAGTGGTGATAATCAAAGTGTACTTTAAGATCTATCCTGAAGTAGATTGCTGTCAGAGTAATACCCAAACACACCTGTAAGACATGTTAATATGACAATTATTCAAATGTACCCATCAACCATTAATGCGAAAGATGAAGAAATTGAAGATTTTTGCCAACTTCTGTGGTCTAAAATTGATCTAATATGCAATCAAGATGCATTGATAGTTACTGGCGATTGGAATGCAAAAGATGGAAACAACGATGGGTTAGTAGTTAGAAAATATTCTGCAGATTAAATGGACTAAAATAGGGGTTATTCCCTTCTTTATGTTACAGATATAAAATATTCTGCAGGTAAAACTGACTAAAATAGGGGTTATTCCTTCTTTATGTTACAGATATAAAATATTCTGCAGCTAAGACTGACTAAAGTAGGGTTTTTTCCTTCTTTATACTACACATATTTATTCACCACTTATTCCAGCAAAACTGCTTTAATTTGTTTATTCATTCATTCAATGAGCATTACCAAAAGCCTCTGCTATCTCAGGCACGGAACAAGAGGAAGACGGACACGGTGGCTACAACGAGGCGCTGAGACATAAGAAGAGTTGTGAGGATGATGCAGGCCTGGGGGGTGTTTCATTCTGTTGTACACAGGGTTGCTGTCAACAACATGGTGGGCAAGGCACAGTTTATGCTTTCAAAAAGCTCACTCTTTTGGAAAGTACACAAGTCAGTACACAAACATCTACAATACAGTATGACAATGAAAGGTGTGCACTCCATGAGAGAAATGTGTGGCAGTCACCTTGTAGGTCTGAAACTGAACTCAGAGTCCTGTTAGAATCATCAGCCATTTAGGATCAAAAGGCAGCATTTCCCCAAGGACAAGGTTCAGAAGGTTAGTTAAGGAGGAAGCACGAGACAGGAAATGAAGGAAGTGGGATAAGGGATGGTCCATCGAGGGGACTGCGATTGCTGTGTTGGACCCGAATATGTATGCATTGTTGAAGGTAAAACTATGATCTGCTCTGTCAGCCTTCACCTACTTCACAGCAGAAAGAAAGAAAGAAAAGATGTGGCAGTTTAAGTCCCTAAAGAATTACAGTTTGGGAAACCCTATGGAACTGTTCTATTACATCCTATACGACTACTATGATTCGGAGCAGACTCAGCCACAGTGGGTTTACTGAATAGTATCAGAACAAGATGGAGAAAAGTGGGGCTCTGGGAGGGCTTCACAAATGCATAGAAAGAGCACAGGTATTTGTCTGAAGGGCATTCTAAGAAAGTGCAGCAGTATCAATAAGAGCAAGGAAACGCGAGAGGCCTTCAGAGAGAAACAAAAGAAAAATTTGACAAACAAAGAACAAAAATTTGACAAACAGACATAATTTGACAGACATACTGGGAAGTTGGTTCATTCCAAAGTAGAAAAGTCATTTTAGTAAGAGTATGGGTAATTTTTCTTCAGCATCTTTTCTGTACTTTTTAGATGTTTGGCAATAATACTCATGGTACATACAAGGGTCAATTTAACGTGTGTAATATATATATATATAGCACTAGTTGCTACTGTGGGGAAATATTGCCTGGGACCGAGTACAAGGGAAATTGCCAAGCTGTTAGGGAGCTTGAGATCTGTGGGCTTTATTATATATTAACTGTACTTCAATTTTTAAAATTATAACTTGATTTTTCCCCCTAAAAGAAAGAGTAGCTTCATGGAGAGTAATGCTAGGTGCTTTTATTCTCTATAGGGGCTGGTGGGTCAACTCCATCTTCAGGCATGGAAGCTTCTTCTACATAAGAAAGATTTCCATATCCCCGCGCTGAGTGCAGGCAAAGTAAGGGACCCCAAGAAGTACCCCTTCATCTTCTCTCCTTCTGGGTGAGTTACAGCTGCAGCAAGGCAAACCATTCTCAGAACAAAAGCTGCACACTGCTTTCCTGCCCTATTCCATCTCAAGGTCAAGGCTGTCAACCCTCCCCTTGACTGCCAGCGGAAAAATGGATCAAGATGAATGAAAATCAGAAGAAAAGAAAATCATTTCATCTCAGAAAAGCTGGGCAGTGAGACAGCTTATTATGAGGGTCTGAAAGCTTCAATCAACACAGAGAAGTGAGTTGCTAAAAACAAACATTTCTGTGCTCTGGAAAATGTGGAGCAAAGACACAGGAAAGTAGCAAAAAGCAGCACAGTACATTCATTCTTTTGTTCTAAGAATTCTATCTAAAAGAAATAAAAGAATTCTATCTATGCCTACCAGAACTCAATCCACGTAAACAAATGTTTGCTTATTCATTGCCTACTATGGGCCAGGACTTACACAAGGTCCTAAGGTTAGACCACTAATGAAGATACTAACAGTCCTGGCCTTATAAGTCTACTAGCCAAAAGTCACTGCCATTGAATCTATTCTGTCTCATGGCGATCCTACAAAGGGTTTCCAAGGCTGTAAATCTTTAGAGGGGCAGATAACCTCCTCTTTCTCTCAAGGAGCGGCTAGTGGGACTAAACCACTGACCTTGTGGTAAGCAGTCCACTGCTTACCAGACAGTACCTCCAATAGTAGTCCAATTACTATTGAGAAGTAGAGAAGACCAATAGTAGTCACTGAGTTACAATGGTAAGAGATGCGTGATATGAAAAGCAAGTCATATATCCTTTGCTGCTCCTACATATATAACAGAAGGACCTAACTTAATGGAGCTCCCTGAAGAAGTGACATTCAAGATGAAGTCTAAGAAAATTTCGTGCCTAGTTGAAAGGGATAGAGTTGTATGTGCTTTAGCAAGCATATGAAAAGGTCCTGAAGTGGACAAGGGCAGAAACAAAGGCAATGTGCCTGGAAGTGCAAGGAGGTTTTGCGGGAGTTTAAGGAAGCCGAGGTAAGGGGGCCTATAACAATCTATATAAGAAACTTATTTTGCCCTAAGGGGTTGGAAAGCCATAGAAGGATTTTGAACAGGAGAATGATAAAATCATATTTCCACTCTAGAAAGATCAACTGAACTGCCATGTGGTGACCTGGTTAGAAGGAACTGGGAGCAGGAAAAAAGTAAGCTACAATTAAAACCTTATTATGTTATTTACAGGTAAGCCTCAATAATAATAATAATAATAATAATAATAATAATCACAGCCAACATAAGCCCTTCACATACATTTATCCCCTTGATTTTCACTACAATCTTTGTATATAAGCATTTCTATCAGCCTCATCTTACAGAGGAAGCAACCAAGGCACAAAAAGGCTACAAACACTGCCCAATGTTAAGCACACAAAGAATGTATCCGACCACAAGGAAACTTCAGGCACTCTGGCTCCAGAGTTCATGCTTTAATCTATATGCAAGGTGCCTTTTAAAATTCAAATACTATACCAAAAAGAAACAAAATGTAACCGCCTGCCTGCCTGCCTGACAGTGGGTGCTTAAGGTTTGCCTGGCTGTCTTCACTCATATGCAACCAGGGCTTTTTATGATCAAGTTTTAATGAATAGCAGCTTTAAAAAGAGTCCTTTTGAATGTTTAAAACTCTGTAGATGTGATAGTAGTATTCTGTAAGTGAGGTTTCATACCTCTTTGCCAATACAGACCTTTGGGACATCAGCCCTAACCCCAGCCAACTGAAAAAAAATTTTATTCATCATTAATAATAGTTCTTATAGAGTATTTATAGTGTGACAGTCTCTCTGCTAAGTGCTGTTATATAAGACCTTGTTTGATTTTTCAGAACTCAGGAAAATAGAAAAATCATCCTCCCCATTATATAGATTAGACAATTGAGGTTCAGAATTGTCCAAAGTAATAAAGTTAGCAACTGGAAGAGCTGGAATTTAAATAGAATATGAGCAGTTTGAATGCAGAGTTTATATTCGTAACTATTTGTTATTCAAAGCGTGGTCCACAGACAAGCTACTGATTAAGTCCAAGGTAAGATGGAAAATTACCAGTCACTAAACATACCAACTTAGCCGACTGTTTTTTTAATAGCAAGACTTCCTCAAGGAAGGAAGCAGAGCCTTCATACACATTATGGCATAATCGGACGTCTTTGGGACTTGGAAAGCATTGCTCTAAATTATATGTCATTCTCTTTCTTGCAACTGACATTATACTTTCCCTTCTCCTTATCGCCCTTCCACATTGTTTTTCTCAAGACTTCTGAGAGTGTGTGACTGTATGTTTTATGTACTCTCTGAAATAAGGTTCTATGTCAGATTCACTTCAGTATCCTCCTACAGTGCCCACCACAAAGAAACAAAGGATTAATCAAGAAATTTTAAATTAAGTAAAAGCACATTCATTGAGCTTTGGGAACAGCATACCACAGAACTAGATTGTGTAGTCCCATTTAAGGTTGTATGGCAGAGGACTAAATGTCCCCCACGTGGAAGGTCTTGGGCTAGGTGCTGAAGAAATAAACCAGAGTCTTCATCAGGAGGCAATGCACAGGCTAGGGGAGGAGGGAGAGTGGTACTGATACATAAGTAGATCACACAACCCAGAACACTAAAGGCCATGGGAGAGGTGTACTGCTGCCACTGCTAAAAGCGTAACCAATGCTGCAGGGCATAAAAGAAAAAGATAAAGCACATCTTTAGGCCCCAAACAAGTAAAGTCCTGTCAATTTTAAGAGTTAACGTCACAGCTTATCAAATTTTGTAAAGAGCACTTTTAACACATTTACATTTTAGGTTATAAAGGCTTAAATGTTTTAAAGGCTTAAAAGATTTAAATTTGGCTAAGAATTAAAAATATGGCCCTACTAAGTTAAGATCCTGGCAACTTATTCATCCTGTGACTTTTGGCAAGATATTTAACTCTTCTGAGTCTTGTTTTTTTCATCTGTAAAATGGGAATGCACTAAGATTTAAGCCATAGGGTTGAGAAAATGAAATGAGTAAGAAAGTATAATTTTTGCCAGGGCCACATTTTGTGATATGTACTACCATTCCACAATGGTAAACCACCTAACCAAAGATCTTAAAAATAGTTTTCTTTAGATCAGCTTACTTTGTAAAGAAATTCATTTCAAAAAGAAATTTGAGCAACTGGAACTTTGACATGTTGCTGGTGGAAATATAAAATAGTGTAGTCACTTTGGAAAGCAGTTTGGCAGTTTCTAATAAGTCTAAACATATGAGTGGGCTTCAAAAAGTTCATGGAAAGATAATGGAATTTTTTCCTGAACTTTTTGCGGCCCCCTCGCATTTACCATTCAATCCAGAAAGTCCACTCTCAAGGAAACGAAAACTGATCTCACAAAAACCTATGCATATTTATAGTAGCCTTATTCATAATTGATAAAAAGTAAAAACAATTCAAATGTCCTTCAACTGATGAATAGATAAATTGTGGTACATCCATCCAACGAAATGCTAACTCAGCAACAGAAAGCAACCAACTGCCACTACCACGGGGTACACCTCGGAAGCATCTCCAGTGCCTGACCCTAGTGAAGGAGGCTAAATGCCAAAGCATAAATAGAGTGTGAGCCCATCCACAGGACATTCTGGAAAAAGAAAACTGCAGGGCAGAAAACAGATCAGTAGGGGTAGGAGAGAAGCTGACTATAAAGGAGCTGGAGAGAATTTCGGGGGATGATGAAAATGTTTTATGATTATGATGGTATTTACTCAACTGTGTGCATTTATCAAAACTAAGCCTATTCACAAAGAGGGCAACATTTTACCGAGTCTAAATTATACCTTACAAAAACAATTATAATTGTTTTTAATTATTAATGCTTTTCCATACAAATGAAAATGTACTCAGTAAATGTGGGTTTCCCTCCAGTTCGTCAGCAAATCTAAAGAATAAATGACAAAGGGACAAGGTAGAGAATACCTAAGTATGTTGAGAGATAAGACAGAGCTCATGAATCGTGGATTTGAAATAGTGAAGATGTCAAAGCTCCCTAAATTGATCTACAAAGCCAATGCAATCCCAAACAAAATCCCATCAGTCTTTTTTCTGTAGAAATCAACAAGCTGAATATAACATTTATATGGAAAAACCAGAATCTACAATAGTTAAAACAGCTTTAAAAAGAGGAACAAGGTTGGAATTTCAGTAATCAAGATGGTGTTATATATTGGTATGTTGCTGAGATTGCTAGCTATTGTCCAGTCAATCCCTGACTCATGTCAGTCCCATGACAATGGAACGGAATACTGCCTAGTCCAATTGTAGAATGGACCATTTTGATTCATAGGATTTTTCATTGGCTGATTAATAACTGGTTATCTAAAATATATGAAGAACTCTTAAATGACCCAATTAAAAATACAGACGAAGATTTAAGACTCTTCACTAATGAAGATATGCAAATGGAAAATAAAGACATGAAAAGATAGTCAACATCATAGTTCATTTGGGTAAAGACAAACTAAAGCTATTATATGGTAAAACAAGATACCTTTAGAATCTAATTGTTTTTTAAAATGCCAAATGCTGACCAAGCTGAGGGGTCATATTGCTAGTGGAAATACAAAATGATGCTGCCATTTTGGAAAAGCATTTGGCAGTTTCTTTCAGTTATATACTTAACATATAATTAAAAAATCCCAGACCCAGGTAATGCCCCAAGAGAAAAGAAGACTATGTCCACATAAAACTTGTAGAGGAATGCTTATGGCAGCTTCATGCAATCTAAATGTACATCAACTAGTGAACAGATAAGCTAGCTAAGGTCCACCCATACATTTGAATACTGCTCAGCCATTTAATACTTGTACAAACATAAATGAATCTCAAATGCATTATGCTAAGTAAAAGAGGTCAGACACAAACAGCTTCATTTTGTATATTTTGGAAAAGTTAAGATAATAAGGACATAAAATATGGACTAGGGGTGGGAAGGAGTACCAAGGAACTTTTTGAGAAAACGGAACTATCCTATATTTTGATTTTTTATTGTGGTTATAGTTACAACATTGCATATATTTGTCAAAATTCCTAGAACTGTGTACCTTTAAAGAGTGAATTTTATTACATGCAAATTATATTTCAAAACCTGAGTTAAAAAAAATCAGAGCATGCCACTCATGCCAAGAATATCCCATGCAAAACACCCCCACCCTTCATACCTTTCCTCGACTTTAATGGAGTAATGGTTGCAAAGGTTGTGAATATACTGGGCATAACTCTCTGCTAGGGCCATGTCATACGCAATCAGGTGAACATTTACAACACCATACTCATAATCTGTCCCCAGATTAATGGGTCTCACTTCCACTTTTCCCTTCTTCCTGGTCTGAACAGAAAACAAAAAGAGAAACAAAATAAATCAAGGTATTGAACAAGAAATGTCAAGCAAACCATCTTAATATAAAGAAAAACAACCTCACATAAACAAATTTGTTTACCATTGTGCTGGTTGACCACCCTCTCTATAAACTGAAGCTCTCCTAGGAAGTACTGGCAGCTTCTCTTACTGTTTGAGCAGTGCGATCAGGCAAAGGAGGAAGAGGGATAGTAATGAAGGCATTATTTTAACATGAACACACAAGGGGGCTTAAAATGGCTTTGGGGAAAAGTCCATTATCTTTTAATACTACTTTTCCACAGACTTTTTTAAGCCCCTGTAGGTGACTATCTGTACTATGAGCTGGCTAGGAGATTCATCTCCCACCTCTGGCTTCCAGTTTTCCCTGTTTGTAAAATGATGCGGCTATGTTATGTCAAAGATTTCTAACACGGAACCCAGGGATAGATTTCAAGGCATCCATGCCCTCCCCCACAAATTATTTGGGCCTATTTTTCTAAGTAGAGAATCCTTAGCTTTCATCAGAATCTTTAAAAAATTAACAGCTAGCCAGAACAGAATTTATTAGTGTCCTGCAATTATATACCCATCCTTTGAGAACTATCGGGTACAATAAAGTATATGCAAGCAGAGCATCAGACCTTTCTTAGGAGTTGCCGCTGGGTGGACCCAAACTTTCAACCTTTCAACCTTTCAGTTATCAACTAAGAGTGTTAGCCACTTGCACCTCTTTGCTATTGAGAAGAAGAAAATAGATTTGGGGGTGTGTGTGAGAAAAAACAAACAATCTCTGCTTATATGTCTTATGTTACCCCTCTGGAATGCCAGTAGAATTGTTCTTGAGAGAGGATCTCTCATACCCATGTTCTCCAGGTCAACCTAAGACAGCAAAGTCTCAATTTGGGAAACAGGAGGAAGGTCCGAGTACGGGATCTTTTTACAAGGTTGGTGGGCAATGAATGTACAAATGTGCTTTACACAATTGATGTATGTATGGATTGTGATAAGAGTTGCATGAGCCCCTATTAAAACGATTAAAAAAATAAATTGAATATCTATTTCATGTACCAAAAAAGAAAGAAAGAAAGAAATTATAAAACTGACGCTCCTATCTCTAAGTGAATTCTAAGCACTCACCAATGGCAAAATAAATAAATCACTTCATGAGATTTTTTTTAAAAGGCTGGTAATAGTGATAATAAATCTTATCTCACAAAGATGTTTAAGAATTGAACAAAAACCATATTGTTGAGAATGTGGGGAGTCGGAGCAGAGACCCAAAGCCCATCTGTAGATAATAGGATATCCTTTCACAGAGAGAGGGGTCACAGGGAAGAGATGAATCAAGCAGGGTGCAATAAAGCACTGATGAAACACACAATACTCCTCTGGTTCCTTGAGGCTTCCTCACCCCTCACTATCATGACCCTAGTACTGCCTTCCACTGCGGGTCAGACTGGATCATGTACACAGATACGGTCAAGACATAAGAACTCACGACACACAAAATCCAGGAACAAGAATGAGAGTAGCAATACCAGGAGGGCAGGAGCAAGGTGGGGAGAGGAGGGGAGGAAGGGGGAACCAATCGTGATGATCAACATAAAACCACACTCCCCCACCAGGGGGGACGAACAACAGAAACCATGGAGGAAGAGAGACAACCATCAGTGTAAGATATAAAAATAATGATAATTTATTAAGGGGCCACAAGGGTGGGGGAGAGGAAGAAGGGGAAAAGAGGAGCTAACATCAAGGGCTCAATAGAAAATAAGTATCTATGAAATAATGATGACAACATATGTACAAACGTGCTTGATACAATTGAATAAGGATGGTTACAATAAAGCGCTCAAAATGTTTTTTTTAAAAAGAATTGAACAAAATACTCTATAAAGTGATTTGTATAATCGGTGGCACAGACATAAACATACAATAAATCATGACTGTGATGGAATTATTACTTTCACTTTATATGGCACATATCAGGTCCAGAGGTACCATGGAAAGAAGGCCTGGCAACCGACTTCCAAAACAACAGCCACTGAACCCTATGGAACACAGCTCTACTCTGACGCACATGGGGCTGATGATGTGACTCAGAGTCAAATAAAGATCACGTGGTTGGCTGGTTGTAGGGCAAGGCCTGACATAGAGAAAACACATAATGAGTTTTAGAACAAGAGGGAATTTAAAGATTATTTTAGTCTAGTTCTTTTTCTTTGCAGATAAAGAATATGAAATCCAGAGATATTAAAAGCATCCTCCAGATAGATGGGTTTCAGTAATTAAAATCCAGACCTCCTGAAAACCAATGTGGGGATTTTTTCCTCCGCACTTTTTGCATTATTTATGTATTTATTTTTAAATAGTTTTACTGGGAGCACTTACATCTCTTATCACAATCCATGCGTTCATCCAGTGTGTCAAGCACATTTGCAAATATGCCACCATCATCATTTCCAAAGCATTCTCTTGCCACTTGAGCCCCTGATAACAGCTCCCCATTTCTTCCCCCTCCCTTCCCCGCCCTCCCTCCCTATTCCTTACATTATTAATGCTGTCAACAGAATGGCTGCCCCAGGAAAAGGGAAAAAGGAACCTACAGCCATTGAATCCATTTTGACTCATAGAAACCCTGCAGAAGGTTTTTAAGGCTTTGTAATTCTTCATGAGAGCAGATAGCCTCTTCTTTCTCCCTTGGAGCAGCTGGTGTGTTTGAAATACCAACCTTGTGGTTAGCAGTCCAACATTCCCCATAGCACCATGAGGACTCTGTAAGTGAGGAACCAACCTCTAAACACCAATCATCAAGGGCTGGTCATCTCTTCTAGAGAGCCCGCCACTCAACCAAACTAAACTCACGGTCATCAATTCCGACTCAGACCCTATAGACCAGGGTGGAACTGCCCCTATGAGTTACTGGTACTGTAACTCTTTGTGGGATCAGAAAGCCTCATATTTCTCCCATAGAATGACTGGTGGTCTCAAACTACTGACCATGTGGTTAGAAGCTCCAACTCGTAACCATTACGCCACTGCCTAGCTAAGCCCACCACAACAGTGGCCAAGTGCAGTAGTCAGGACGTTTCATGGCGGTCAGCAGAGCTGTGAAGAATGCTCAAGTTCAGAGTGGCTGGAATTTTCCAGCAGAGAGAGGAAAGACTTCTCTGAAGCCTGTAAGAAAGATGCTTTGTTTAAGCAGAGAAAATGGCGGGTCTCCTCAAAGGGGCCACTCTGAGAGAACAAAAAAAAGAAAACTGATTCCAGTATCCCTTTTGGCATCTCACTTGCTTTTCCATGTTCCATTGGTCTGTCCAGACCAATCCACACCAGCAGGAGCCCTTCCCGTATTTCACTTCTGAGCCAGGACCCAGCAGAGCTGCACGAGTTTGACTACATATAATACCAAATCCAGTTCTGATCCTTTTAACCTCGCCCTCGCTTTTACATTCACCTTTCCTCTCTTCCTTCCTACGGCACACATAACTGTCACAGGCAGCTCTACATAAAGACACTGTGCAAAGGATGTACTTGACCGGGGCTGGGTTTGGAGAGGGTCATCCTGACCGCACATGGAGGAGAGGCTGGCACGAAGGAGGGAAATGGTTGGGCAAACTTTGCACTCCTATGACTGGCCTGTCCGGCTTCCCTGAGATCACTGTAGGATTGCATTTGGTCCCCCACATGGGTATGGGATACATTTTAAAAGTTGTTTTGTCACTTTGGGAGATTAGATGTGCAACCTGAATTCTGAGTGCTCCAAGATTATTTTTGATTAAATCAAAACAAAAATCCTTTTCCCACCTGGATAAACTGAAACTTGGCACAGCAATAAGTCTCTGTAGTCCCTCCAACAACTCCAAATGTTTGTGTAGTGTCTAGTCACATGAGGATTTAATCTGTACAAATTAATAATCCATATAGTTCCAACTTGTAGTTAGCCTACACTTATTTAATCTCTTTTTCTCTATTGTGTTTTAAATAAATTTACCATGGGCTAAAAAAACAAAAAAACAAAAAGCTTGTTTGTACAAAAACAGCACCCCATTCTACAGACGCAAAACCAATGTCTTAGGGATGAGTGGCGGCTGGAAAAGGATCTCTGCTGTGATGGTCGGCTTCCGCGCCTGTCTAGTCCGTCCCCTCACAGATCAAACACTTCCCGGTTGTGCTCATCCTTCCAGTCCTTGCTGTGCGTGAGCTGACGTTACAGTCACTGTGCCATGAGTCCCTCTGTCCTGGCTGCCAGAGTACCTTCCTAACACACAGTGGTACTGCTCCATTCATCTTTGTCTCCCTAGAGCCCAGCAATGTTAAGTGTTGACACCTTTTGCTGAATTGAATTCTGGCTCTACTAGCCATATAATAGCCATAGAGATATCACTTATGTTTCTGAATAAATTTCCTTTTCTGCCGTCCACCTTACAATATTGTTGCTGAACCAAAAGGCCTGTTCTCCGATTTGGTCTGTTTGCCAAGGGCCTAAAACATCCTGTTTCTCTTTGTGAAACATCATTAAATATTCTCATGGACATATATTCATCATATACAACAACACTGACTTTGCTATCAGGAAAGATGAGCATGGGCATATTATATGGATGGTGTCTTCTACATCTCAAAAGACATGGAAGTGGACATGAGTTATTCTGTTGATATCTGTTTACATCAAGGAACATTGAGGGGAGAAACTTGATATTTAAAAAATTCTATCCATTAATTTAATGTGTTTTTTTCTAAAATCTGGGAAAGACAATCATTATTCAATTTCAGGAAGGGCTCTGTTCAGTTTGAGGACCACCAGTGTTCCGAGGGAGTACGGTTTAAGAGGCTCTGAGATAATGTGGGTGAAGGCTCGTTGGCAAAGGAAAGGCATCATTACGATAATTCATGTCAAATGTGAATCCTTCTAAAAACCTACCAGAGTTGTCATTGTAGGTTGCTGACAGAACAGGTAAGACAAGCAAGAGCTTCTAGTGGGCTGG